CTAACCCCCACCCCCTGAGAGGCCCCAGTGTGTGATGTTTTTCTCCCTATGTTCATGTGTTCTCAGTGTTCAACACGCACTTATGAGTGAAAACCTATAGTGTTTGGTTTTCTGTTCTTGTGTTGCTGAGAATGGTTTCCAGCTTCATCCATGTCCCCGCAAAGGACATGAACTCATCCTTTTTTATGGCTGTGTAGCATTCCATGATGTATATGTGTCCCATTTTTTAAATCCAGTGTATCACTGATGGGCATTGGTTCCAAGTCTTTGTTATTTTGAAAGGTGCCGCAATAAACATACATGTGCATGTGTGTTTATAATAGAATGATTTATAATCCTTTGGATATATACCCAGTAATGGGATTGCTGGGCCAAATGGTATTTCTAGTTCTAGATCGTTAAGGAATCGCCACACTGTCTTCCACAATGGTTGAATTAATTCGCACTCCCACCAACAGTGTAAAAACGTTCCTATTTGTCCACATCCTCTCCAGCATCTGTTGTTTCCTGACTTTTTAATGATCGCCATTCTAACTGGTGTGAGATGGTATCTCAGTGTGCTTTTGATTTGCATTTCTCTAATGACCAGTGATGATAAGCTTTTTTTCATGTGTTTGTTGGCTACATAAATGTTTTCTTTTGAGAAGTGTCTGTTCATATCCTTTGCCCACTTTTTGATGGAGTTGTTTGTTTCTTGTACATTTGTTTAAGTTCTTTGTAGATTCTAGATATTAGTTTTGTCAGATGGATAGATGCAAAAATTTTCTCCCATTCTGTTGGTTGCCAGTTCACTCTAATGATAGTTTCTTTTGCTGTGCAGAAGCTCTTTAGTTTAATTAGATCCCATTTTTCTATTTTGACTTTTGTTGCCATTGCTTTTGGTGTTTTAGTCACGAAGTCCTTGCCCATGTCTATGTCTTGAGTGATATTGCCTAGGTTTTTTTCTAGGGTTTTTATGGTGTTAGGTCTTACGTTTAAATCTTTAATCCATCTTGAGTTAATTTTTGTGTAATGTGTAAGGAAAGGATCCAGTTTCAGCTTTCTGCATATGGCTAGCCAGTTTTCCCAACACCATTTATTAAGTAGGGAATCCTTTCCCTATTGATTGTTTTTGTCAGGTTTGTCAAAGATCAGATTGTAGTAGATGTGTGGCATTACTTCTGAGTCCTCTGTTCTGTTCCATTGGTCTATATCTCTGTTTTGGTACCCATATCATGCTGTTTTTATTACTGAAGCTTTGAAGTATAGTTTGATGTCAAGTAGAGTAATGCCTCCAGCTTTGTTCTTTTTGCTTAGGATTGTCTTGGCTGTGTGGGCCCTTTTTTGGTTCCATATGAAATTTAAGGTGTTTTTTTCCAATTCTGTTAGGAAAGTCAGTGATAGCTTGATGGGGTTAGCATTGAATCTGTAAATTACTTTGGGCAGTGTGGCCATTTTCATGATATTGATTCTTCCTAACCATGAGCACGGAATGTTTTTCCATCTGTTTGTGGCCTCCCTTGAGCAGTGGTTTGTAGTTCTCCTTGAAGAGGTCCTTCATATCCCTTGTTAGTAGTGTTCCTAGGTATTTTATTCTCTTTGTAGCAATTGTGAATGGGAGTTCACTCATTATTTGGCTCTTTGTCTGTTATTGGTGTATAGGAATGCTTGTGATTTTTGCACGTTGATTTTGTATCCTGAGACTTTGCTTATCTGCTTAAGGCGATTTTGGGTTGAGATGATGGAGTCTTTTAATTTTTAAAAAAGAATACTCAAAATGAAACTTCCTAAATGGTTCTTTCTAAAAACAAAGAAAGAATGTTCAGGAATCCACTACTGACTTGAAGGTCTTAGGGATATGGATTCTTCCAGGTAAAGCTAATAGAAAGTAGAGATGTTCAGGTCCCCAGCCTAAGTCTTGCCCTACCGGGACCCAGACCATTTTGCCCTGAAATAAGGCCACATGTTGGATTAGACCTTCTTGTTCTCAACTTTGTGTTAATATAAAATACCGCTTGTGTTAGCAGAGACAACACTGAGTGAGTGGAATTGCCTAGTCACAAAAAGAGCTACACATTTGGACCATTTTTCCAAACTTTAAAAATAGTTCTTAAGTTGATACTGGAAGACCTTGAGGAAGGACATTTCTTGGAAATGCACCATGCTATAAATGCTGCCGCCTCCACCAATATATCACCAAACCATTTTTCAAGCCCACGTCCTCCGAGAGGCCTTCTCTCTGCTAATTTTGCCCCATTCCAGCTGCCACTGTACTACCCTTAAGTGCTGTACTGCGTTTAAGTCTTGATGCCCTTGTCTTGATGCTTTTAATTAATTAAGACATCAAGTTTTCTCTACACTTGATGTCTTAATTAATTATAGACTCAGAATTTTAGAACAGGAAGCAGTCCCAGGGAATTCTCCACTGTTGCCTTCATTTCACGTATCAGGAAGTTGAGGCCCAGAGAGGGAAAGGAAGTTGCTTTAGGTCACAGATCATGGTACTAAAAGAGTGGACCCCAAAACTAGGTGTTCTTACCTCCAGACAGAGCTTTTTCTATGCCTCATGCAACAGTTGACTTATGATTTTGTTCTCCCAGTTAAGCTACAAATTTCCTATAGGCAAGGCTTGTATCTAACATAGTAACATTTCATTTAACAGAGGCCTTGATCTTGGCTTCATGACTTACAGTTGTGAGCTAGGACAACAGATCGAATCCCTAACTCTGCCTGCCTAACTAACCTTTTCCTTTACTTTCAAATCTGACTGTGCTGGTTCCCTCTGAGACCTCGGGCAAGTCACTGCCCTTCCTCTGGGTCTCAGTTTCCTTCTCTATCAAATGAGATAATTGGACTGAATGTGTTTAGGATCCCTCCAAGCTCTGAAAGTTATAGAATTCTCTATCCTACAGGTAGATCCTTTGCTGCCTTCAGGATGGGCCTCACTGTCCCACTGCTCCATCCAGTGAACCTGTAGCTAGAGATGTTTCAAAAGTAGAGGCTGAGAAGTTGCCATGAGATAGTGCCCCAACTATCCCAAGATAGGGCTGGTTGGGATTGCAAAGAAAGAAGTACTAAAAGCCAGGTTGATCAATCCAAAGCATTTATTAGGGGAACTTATAGAGTACTGTAGCGATTCTCTTGCAGACAGCAAGAGAAAGGGATGTTCTACCTAGGTATCTCCGCAGCAAAGTGCCCAGGATATGGAGTTTATATGAAGATTTAAGGAGTCTGGCTGAAGGCTAGGGCTCAGGCTAGTTTCTTTACTGTTTTGGGAAGCAACCTACACACCTTTTTCAGTACCTGAGAATGTTCAGGGTATCCAGCGTAGACTCCAGGCTACAGAATTGCAAATGGCTGTGTCGGCCACAGAGTGGTCAAGGCCTGTAGTTCTCGATCAGGACCCCAAAAAAGTGGGAAATTGGGGGATCTTATACCCATAGATCGGCCTGTTCATTTCCCTGGATTCTGCTGTAGAATAAGTTCCTTCAGGACCCAGATCACGTAGTGTCATGCAGCAAGGCCAGGCGCGGAGTCCGAAGGTTCAGGTTCCAGTCTTTCCGTCTTGCCTCTGTGATTTAGTGTCTGTGCCTTCCGCAGGTCACTTCATTTCTCTCAGTCACCTATTTTTTTTTAAAATAAGAATAACAATATGTGCTTGTCAGATTTGTTGATGGTGAAATGAAGTAAATTTTGTGGAAATATTTGGCATGAAGAAGGCATTCAGCATATAGTTGCTTCTGTGCTTCATTCCACATCCAGCATTATTGAGAAATGAGCTGTTCCAAATAAACACACATTCCAGATAACAGGTTTACCAACAGGAGCTACAAAACAGTGCCTGATTTTTTATTAAAATCTTTCTGAAATTGATTCTGTATTTTCTTGACCTGTTACATGGAGCATGTACCAAACGTATTAGGAGGAGTTAGAGAAAGTAACATCCCTGCAAAAGGGGGCATGACCAACAGCTTGTCTGGGGATATAAGTAGTGCAGATGGAATAGGAAAGAAAACTTTTTTTGTTGAGACGTAGTCTCACTCTGTTGTCTAGGCTGGAGTGCACTAGCGCAGTCTTGGCTCACTGCAACCTCTATCTCTCAGGTTCAAGTGATTCTCCCACCTCAGCCTCCTGAGTAGCTGGGATTACAGGTGTGTGCCACCATGCCAGCTTAATTTTTGTATTTTTAGTAGAGATGGGGTTTCACCATGTTGGCCAGGCTGGTCTCAAACCCCTGACCTCAATCAGTCCACCTGCCTCAGCCTCCCAATGTGCTGGGATTATAGGCGTGAGCCACCACGCCCAGCCAGAAAAGAAAACTTCCATGCCTCTGCAAAGAGCTTGAATTTTTTTCATCTCAGCAAACGGGGAGCCCTTGAAGAGTTTTAAGAAGGAGAGTGACAGGATCAGATTTGTTTCAAAGAAATCACTTAGGCTTCTGGTTGGTGGACACATCTGGGTGGAGAGCAAGAGGGAAGGCTGAAAGGCCTGCCGCAGGCTGGTGTAGTGGCTCCAGTGAGAGACGGTGGGGACTGACATGGATATATGAAAAATCAGAGGTAGGAAAAGACAGATTGGTAAATGCCCCGTAGCTGCATGTAAAAATAAAATAATGGAATATCAGCCCATTCTGAGAAAAGCATAAAATACAAAAAGTATAAAGAAGACTATAAGAATCACCCAGTAACACACCACCCAAAGAAAACCACTGTTAACAGGTTAAACTGTTTTCTCTCAGTGTTTTTAGCTGAAGAATCTCTAATGTGTTTGTAGATACAAATTTGATTTATCAAAATTTGCTTCAAGCCGACATTTTCCAGAACACATCTCCTAATGTCAATTGAGCTGTGCTTCCATAAGAGTAAAGATAACATAGAATTTTAACTCCATTCATTCCTTTCAGTGACGGGACCACAAGAGCTCAAATATATGGGTCTTGGTTGACCTAAGGCTTGATTCCAGGGCTCTGTTTGGGGAAGGCCATTTATGTCTTTAACTCTCCTTCTCTTTTCTCCCTGCAGAGTCGGTGGATAACTGCCCCAGCAACTGCTATGGCAATGGCGACTGCATCTCTGGGACCTGCCACTGCTTCCTGGGTTTCCTGGGCCCTGACTGCGGCAGAGGTGAGAACTCTTCATTGGGGCTCTGAATTTCTGCTTCCCAGACACCTCAGGCAGCTCACTTCCACTTCTCAGAGCAAGTGCAGAACTCCAGCCCATCTCTGATGCCCAGGAGAAAGGTTTCCAAGGGCCATTCTCCAGAAGCCCTTGGAGGGAGGTGTGCAGGCAGAGCCATGACCTTGTCAGCTGCTGTTATCCACATGTGGGTGATTGGGAAAGTCAAGAAGGGACAGTGAATTCATGGTGGGGTGGCCACAGTGAAGTCGGTGTCTGTTGCTGGGGTAGGTGGAGTGGCAGTGGGGGTTCTTTTAAAAGGTTGATTTCCTCTTATAGGAGTGATTATCCCTAGCCATGCATCTTTGAAGTTTATCTTCATACTAGTGTGACATCTCTCTGGCCTTTAGATGGGGAGCCTGAGGACTGCTCCTTTGTACCTTCTAACAGCACAGGCAGAATCAGCCAAGACACCAGGGGAGGGACTGAAGACACCAGGCCACTTTTTTCCACACAGGACCCTAGTGGTGCCTGACATTTAGGCACAGCCAGTGCCCATGATATTGTGGAGATAGTCTGAAGCCTGCCTACGGTCTACTCCATGCTTTTGGCTGTCATTTCTGTCCTGGAATAATTAACAAGGAAAATGCCAAGGAGATCTGTAGTCCTGAGAATTTGGCACTCTGCTGGGAAACTAACATGGCCCCTTCTTCTGTTTTTTCACCTTTTCCCTTATTCAGTAACCATTTGCTTCATGCGCTTTTAGAGATTGGTCCTGTGCTGGGTAAGATGCAATCCTGGGAGCTCTGAGTCTGTTCTCAGAGACAGACAAGTAAATAGACAACTGCAAAGCAGTATGATAATAAGTGCAATACTCTGTAACACAGTTAAGTGCCAGAAGCTTCCATCACAGTAGAAGGGAGGAGCAGCCTGAGAGTAGAAGGGATGAATTTCAGGAAAGGCTTCCCAAATGAGGTGACATTACACCCGAGTCCTGAGGCTGGAGAAATTGTTCGTAAGTAGAAGGCAGAGATGGCTTTCCAGGCTGAGTGAACAACACCCTGCCAGGACTGTGCCATGAGAATCTGTTTACTCTTCCTAATGTGAGATAGACTCAGTTTGAGGCAGCAAAACTAGCAGCCCCAAGGAAACACAGTGATTACCTGCCGAGTGCTTTAAAAAGGAAAGAAGCCAGGTGGGGCCCAGGGAAGGTGGTGCAGAGAGAGATGAGTCACTTCTTCTAACAAGAATTACAGTCTCATCCACATGCACTTAAAGTTAAGAGTCATGTGTAAAAAAGCCTTATTGGATCTTGATAAGACTGGTAAGTACTTATAGCACAATGCAGTATAATTTATTTTTATATAGTATCTTTTGTAGAGAAGATCACAAAACCCTTACGCTAAGAGGCAGAATGAAAAGATAATACTTTAAAGAGCCAATGTGGGCTCTGCTCTCCTCTTAAGGGGGCAGGGTTGTATGGGGCTGGAATGGGGGCCTGAAAGGCAAGGGAAGCTGAGATTTGCTGGGATAAAGAGGACAGTAAGTGGCGCGGCAGACGAGGGGTGGGGAAGTGAAAGTGGAGTGTTATCAGAGGAGAGCACTGGAGAAGGGATTCAGGGCAAGCAGGGGGTCCAGCCACTGTCTTTTTCAGTGAGACGCGGAACAGACTGAAGCTTCCTGCCTGAGGTTCCTGGCAGCCACTGTACCCATCAGCAATATGAAGGGCAGGGGCTTAAAGGGATACCTACCCTGCCAGACCCTGCACTGTGCACCGTCACCTACAAATCTAGATGTGTTTAAACTGGAAAGAAAAGAAAGCGAGAGAGGCAGACAGATGGGCACACATGGGTGTTTGTGGCAATGCAATTGAGGTTACTGGTCAAGCCAGGCAGGCCAAGAGGAGGAAGGGACAAAGGCAGCTGGGGTGTGCTGGACACTGATTCACCCCAGACTTCTGGTGCTGTCTCCCCAGCCTCCTGCCCTGTGCTCTGTAGCGGGAATGGCCAGTACATGAAGGGCAGATGCCTGTGCCACAGTGGCTGGAAAGGCGCCGAGTGCGATGTGCCCACCAACCAGTGTATCGATGTGGCCTGCAGCAACCATGGGACCTGCATCATGGGCACCTGCATCTGCAACCCTGGCTACAAGGGCGAGAGCTGTGAGGAAGGTAAGACTTGCAGGTGGCAGCTCTGGCACCTTCTTCTGAGATAGAGGCTGGCACATGGGGCCAAGCAGGTGACCAGGGAGCAGGGGGAGGCTCCTGAGCCATTCTGTGACTGCTTCCTCACCAAGCCAGAAGCCCATCCACCAGCAACAGTAACTAATCTAAAGGAGGAGGCCAAATACATCCGCGTCTTGGTCAGTAAAGGGGAGAATTGTCATGTACTGATCACTTGCCATATACAAGGCTGTACTAGAAGTCTGTGTCATGTAATTCAAACCTTATTAGGGAGGAGTAATCATCTCTACATTATAGTTAGGGAATCTAAGACACAGGGTTGAATAACTTTCCCAAGGATACATGGCTAGTAGATGGCAGAGCTGGGTTTGAGCCCAGTCTTTCTGGCTCCGTAGCCCAAGTTCTTTTCACTCCCTTCTAGGCTCATCTGCTCATTTTTTATCTCCATTTCTGAAGTGTGATTCTATTATAGGCCTCCACACTCTGCCCTGTTTTATCACACTCGTGTGTGTCTGTGTGTGTTCATGTGTATGGCTCTGCAGTACCCATGAGCATGCCTCTCTCCTTTATAAAGTAAATATATGGCTGTGTAGACTGAGGCTAGCAAAGGGAACTGTTGATTTCACATTGACATGGTTCTTTGCTAGAAAATCCAACCAGGTGAAATAAATTAATATTTCTGTTTCACAAATAAAGAAACTGAGGCCCGGGGAAGGGCAGCAACTTGCCCACGGTCTTTGAACTGACTGATGGCAGAACTGGGATTCATCTCAGGTCTCACTTCAAATCCAGTACTTTTCCTTCTTGACTGCGTGGTGTTTCCGGCTGAGAGGAAGAGCCTTATTCACAAGTAGTATAAAGTAGCTGTTAAAAGTGCACACTCTGGAATCAGATACAGGTCTGCATCCTGGCCCTGCCACTAACTAGCCTCAGTTCCCTTGTCTATAAAATGGGAATGCCTTCCTCTGAGGGCCATTGGGAGGATTGAATTAAATGACCCATGTAAAGCACTTAGCTCAGTGCCTGACACATAATAAACGCTCCATAAATGTGAGCTCTTACATTATTAGTAGTATTCTGGGGACAATTGAAGCACATTTCCTGTTTCGCCCCACTCCCTTCATCCAAGGTCTTTTGAAATGGTTGGAATTTGCCGTTTGAGACTGATGGATGATGCTGTGCTCCTGTCGTTACCTCCCATTCTCTGCCGTCTAGCACCCTGGCACCTTCCCCAGTGAGTGGAAGAGGCTCCAAGGAGAGCCGATCTTCTAAACTATTTACTGTTTAACAGAGAGCCCCCGCCCAGGCATCTTTGCTCTAAAAATAAAACAATGTTAACAGGCCCATTTTCAAAGAGTGGGGAAGAAGAAGAGATTAGTGTCTGAAAAGCATTGCCTCTCTGAGACAAGCTGTGTGTAAACCCCAAGCGTGGCTGGGAGTCCTGATTCAGACCTGTTAACTTTGATGGGGATTACTTTGTGCTATCTGAGAGACAAGGAACGCCAACCCCTGGAACAAAGGAACTCAGCCTTCTTATCCAGAGAATGGTGACCTTCATCTGCTGTCCCTTTTTATTCGAGTCACTTGAGGTGAAAGACCCTGTGAAGGAAAGAGAAACAAAGAAGAGATTCCTCTTGAAACTGTGAGCTGCCCCCAATCCCACCCATGTTGTGTGGGCTAGGGAAGGGCAGTGGTCCTTCCCCAGATGAGCCGGCATCGCACAGCGCCCCAGAGCTGCAGCGTTAGTTATAAGAGAGAAAAAATTGTTTGGAACTTTGATTTACATTATCTATTTGAAAAGAAGTGTTCTTACTCTTGCTTTCTTTTCTGAGGAGGGCCATCTGGTACTGATTCCTGTTATTATTTTTGTTCCTCTGGTGAAGTGTCACTGCATGGTCCTTGTGTTTATAACGGCGTTTTCCCGGGGCCTTTGTCCTCCACCCTTCTCCTCCCCTCCTCCCGATGCTCTGTGCTAAGGGTTTCACTGTGTTTATAAAACATCAGCTAACAAGCTCACTTTTTTTCTCCCCCTTCCTTTTTCTGAAGTTTATTGTCCTGTATTTTTTAAAGCTTGAACGGTGCCAGTAGGACGCTTAGAGGAAGTTGGGGGAGGAGCAGAAAAGTAAAAACCTAGACCTTTCACAGTGAAAAGTGAGACACTGTTTTTGGCCCTGCAGAGTGTCTAATAGCTTGTGTGGTCACTGAAGTGTGGAACGTATCGGGGAGAGGCCTGTGTTTGCAGCCTGGTCATGCAGCCCTCATCATTTTGTTAATGAGCTACGCTTCTGCCAGAAATTTTGGCTTGAATGGCAAGCTCTGCAAGGGGAAAAAACGTAACTGTTTGGCACATCTCTAAGAGGAAACTAAGTTAAACTGTCTTCCAGACCAAGGCCAGCCCACCTCCCTGACCATTGCTCCTACTTCATCACAGCTCTCTTCCACCCCAGGCCGGCTGCTTCTCCACACTTTACACACAGCTCCTTGGTAAACCACTGTTGTTCCTGAAGCTGTCCCAGAGTGATAGAAGCCAACTTTAATCTCCACCCCAGAGGCTCCAGAAAGCAAGGGCAGAGGCAGAGTGTACTTAGTACCTCTTTGGCAGAGCATCATTGTGGCATAGATACTGGCCTTGTAGGATCAGTAAAGCACAGGGACAATATCTACCCACCCCCAGCAGGAACCTCAGCCAGTTCAGCCTAGATTTCTGGGAGCTGCCTTCACTCCTGAGATGTAGTCTTCCTTAAAACTTCCCTTCTGCTCCACACTCACTTGGCCCAGTTGACCTTCAGAATCAGAGATTAATTGCTTGGAGGTAGCCTCTCATCAGATCCTTTTGATCTTTGTTCTCTGCCTGGACTATCTGCTGAGAGCGTAGGATTCACTTTGCTGGTTCCTGAGTCCTTCCTTAGCCTCATTACATCTACAAAAGCACAGGACTGTGCCACCCAGAACCTCTTGCTGAACTTGGCAGCCTCCCGGCCTGCTTGCTAATGATGGAGATTTATAGTTTCGACCTGAAGGGTGCCCTGGGATTCTCAGAGACAGTTTCAACCCAATGTTGAGGTTCAGGCACTTACAGAAAAGGAAATACCTTTATAGGCCTCAGGATAGGAATTGCTGAGTTGTTTCCTGTCAAATTGGAAAGTTCTCTGGGTCTAGGGGATTGTCATAGAAGCCTAATGGGCCAGAATAATCCTTCTGAGGTTCCAAGATCTGAGGCAGGCCATGAGAATTTATCACTATTATTACTTTTCTTATTTTTAATTATCAGGAATTCCAACAGGTCATGCTCTAACCATTTTTGCATGGTGTCCAGAGACTGCAGGAGAAGAGATTCTTGGCCTTCATTTGACTTCATTAATCCTCCACATTGTTCTATTTCTTTCTTGTTTTGATTTTATTTCTATTTTTAAGGCATTTTGTGTGTGTGTGTTTATGTAAGTATATATGCATTCATGTATTTCCAAACTAGTAAGATTATAACGCGAAATGACCGGAGACCTAAACCAGGAAAGAGGGATTCGCATTTAAATTTTTCCATTTGTCATACTACTGTGTGATCTTGGGCAAATTATTTAACCTCTCTGTGCTTTCTGTTTCTTTATCGGTCAAATGAGGATGACAAAAGTAGCTACCTCATACTTACATTGTTAGGATTAAATGAGATAATGTCTATAAAAAGCTTAATAGCAAAATATGGTGCAGAAGAGGGACTAAATTAATGCTCGTTGTTGTGATCATTACTGTGTTTTTAGCAAACGATCACTCCTGAACTCTGATGGTCTTACTTATCATTTAGGTTTTTAGGTTGAACATCTTTAAGACCCTAAATAGCCAAGGAACTTTCTTAATAAGCTAGTTCTCAATATAAATGTTCCCATAATATTGCCGTTTGTAGTTTTTCCCCATTTGTGTCTATGACTCTTATATACCCAGCCTGGGTTTCCCAGTCTTTTATGCAAAAGTCAAGTATACTGGGTTATAAAATATAATTAATAAATAAATTTAAAAGATATCTGGATTATAATTGAGCTCTGACCACAGTTTGCCCCAAGCCATGCTACTGAATGTCCTGATAGGATGGGAAAATAACTTTTTTGCAACAATTCATATAGTCTTTTCAAATCATCATGTCATTTGCTCCTCATAGCAACCTGAGAAGTCAGTGGTCAGTATCTTTACCATACCTGCCTTATAGATGGGAAGCTCAGAGCAGATATGTAATTGGACCATGGACCTAAGACCCTAGGCCCTAATTTTGTCCCTTGAACCTAGGTCCTCAGGCCAAATGGAGAGCTTTTTCTTCTGTAGCATAGGGCTCCCTCGTGAGTTCCCATTAGGAGGGGCCTGACCATACTCATCACAGCACCATCAGCACACTTTCTCCAACAGCTACTCGTTGCCCTTCCTCCCCAGGATACCACCGTGCCCTCACAATTACAAAATGAATAGCATCCCTACCTCCCTAAAGAGAAAGACAGACCTGACAACTTTTTGGCAGAGAAAGAACATGAATCGACCTCCTTTACCAATCCTGTCTTCTCTCTGCCACCTGTTGCACTTTCCATATGAACTGGAGCCACTTCACTTAATTCTCAGTACTTCTCTCCTTTTCCATGCAGTGCTTTGCAGAAGATTAGAGGTCTCTGTTAATTTTGTGTAGCCCTATAACTAAAGCTTTGATTTGGGAAAGTCAGTCCCTGATAGAAGAAATATTGGCCTCAGTATCAGACAGATCTGTCTTCAGATTCTTCCCTGGATGTGGAGTAATTGGAATCCTTGTGCACTGCTGGTGGGAATGTAAAATGGTAGCACTACTATGGAAAACAGCATGATCGTTCCTCAAAAAATCTAAAATAGAATTTACCATATGATCCAGCAATTTCATTTCTGGACATATATTCAAATGAATTGAAAGAGAGTTTCAAAGAGATGTTTGTACACCTGTGTTCATAGCAACCCTATTCATAATAGCCAAAAGGTGGAAGCAACCTGAGTTTCTATCCATGTATGAATGGATAAACAAAATGAGGTAAAAACACACAATGGAATAGTATTCAGCCTTCAAAAGGAAGGAAATTCTGGCCATGCCGCAACATGGGTGAACCTTGAAGACATTATGCCAAGTGAAACAAGCCATCACAAAATGATAAATACTGGATGATTTCCCTTACATTAGGTACCTAGAGTAGTCAAATTCATAGAGATAGAAAATAGAATGGTGGTTGTCAGGGCTGAGGGAAAGGGGAAATAGGAAGTTGTTTAATGGGTGCAGAGTTTCAGCTTTGCAAGATGAAAAGAGTTCTGGAGACTGACAATGGTGATGGTTGCCCAACACCATCCGCATCCTCAACAGCACTGGCTTGTACACTTACCAGTGGCTAAGATGGTAAATTTTATGTTATGTTTATTTTACCACGATTTTAGAAATCAGGAAAAGAATTTCTCTCTGGTAGAGTTTAGCTGTGTGATCTATCATAAATTATTTACCTCTGAGAGCCTCAGTTTCCTCATCTGTATCTCACTGGGTTACTGAGAAAACTGAATCTGACAGTGTATATAAAGTGGTTAGAGTGTAAGCACAGAGCAAATAACCCACAGTGTTACTCTCCTTTTCCTCTTTCTGGGTTGTCTCTTGAGACCACTTTGACCTTGGGTTCTGGGAGCACTAAAGGGCTGCCTGGCTGTGAGCCACCACTATGTAGGTCACCTACCACATAAGAGAAGCTGTGCAAAGTCAGCACATATTGAAATGTTTGCCCTCATGAAAGTGAAGTTTTTTGTTGTCATTTTGGTCATTTGTCTTTTAGAGACAGTCTCACTCTGTTACCCAGGTTGGAGTATAGTGGCACAATCATAGCTCATTGCAGCTTCGACCTCCTAGGCCCAAGCAATTCACCTGCCTCAGTCTCTCAATTTACTGGGACTACAGGCATGTCCCACCATGCCTAGCTAACTTTTTAAATTTTTTGTAGAGACAGGATCTCACTCTGTTGCCCAGGCTGGTCTCAAACCCCTGGCCTCAAGTGATCTTCCCACTCCAGCCTCCCAAAGTGCTGGGATTTACAGGTGTGAGTCACCATGCCTGGCCAGGAAGGTGAAGTTGAAAGTTCGTATCAATCCCAAGAATTTGGAGAAAATGATAAAATCTAGTGGAATTTAATTACGAAATAAATTCTCATCTAAATCAAGGAATCTATTTTAGTCTCATGCTCTCATAAATAAACTTGCATTATGAAGTGATAATAAAAGTTTGTTCTCTGAAGACTTATTTAACTCCTCCTGTGTACCAGGCACTGTTGGAGGAGGTGGAGATTCAAAAGTGAATGAAGGAGTGTCCATAGGCACAAAGTGCTGTGCTGATGCTTGAGACACATTTCTTACTCTGTCTGCCCCACAAATGAAGAGTTAAGGATTTCTACCTGGGTGGAGTTGGGAACCCAGCTCTGCCATTTGCTACAGTACTGCTCTCACCATACCAAGTGGCCTCTGCATCCTTCTACCAGAATGTGTAAAGCCTCTTGGCCGCAAAGCTAAGTAGTTTTCTTAAAGGAGTCTTACCTTTGCTGGTCAGATGCTTACGTATGTTCTCTTTCCTCCATCTCACAGTGGACTGCATGGACCCTACGTGTTCAGGCCGGGGCGTCTGCGTGAGAGGCGAATGCCACTGCTCTGTGGGATGGGGAGGCACCAACTGCGAGACCCCTAGAGCCACATGCTTAGACCAATGTTCAGGCCACGGAACCTTCCTCCCCGACACTGGGCTTTGCAGCTGTGATCCAAGCTGGACTGGACACGACTGTTCTATCGGTAAATGCACGGGGATGAAGGGTGGGTGGAGGATGAGTCGGGGTGAGGAGGAATGAGGGTTGGGGTGTGAGGGGTGGGGAGTGGGGAGAAGCAGCATGGGCAGAGGGAGGGGATTTCTACTGTGACATGGTCACCATTCAGTCCTGATCAGGGACGTGACTTTTCTCAATCATGTAGCAATGCATTCCCCATGCCTCTGCGTGCTTTTGTTCTTTCTCTGAACTCTGGCCTTCAATACTTTTAGGTAGAGATAGGATTCAAAAATTACATCCTTACATCATTCGTTCCATAGCAGTGTTCTTGAGATTCAAAACTACCCCTCAACAATAGTACTTATAGATATGTGTCACTGAAATCTCATCTCATGTTAAGACGTTATCCCTGGAGGCAAGGCCATAGGGAAAGTTTTCCTAGTTAAGCTCTGTAGGGGTGGGCTTCACAGGATGCATGTCCCTGCCATCAAACCCTTCGGTTTCACCTGTTTCTCATAATGAAGTGCAAACTGGGTGTAGTGTTTAGGGTTCTTTGGAATCTGGCCCCCACCTGCCCTTCTAGCCAAACACTCTGTTAGTTACTAAGCTCCATGAGGTTAGCAAACATGTCTTATTCACCCTGAAGCCCCAGGACTCAGCAAGGCCTTACCCACAGTACCTACTCAATAAATAGTGATGAATGAATGAATGAACACATGATCGACTGTGTTCTTGATTGTGGCATTTGGTTCACCACAGGGTTTGTACATATAAAGTACAAAGGATAATTATGTTGGCACCCTTCTGTTTGAAAACACTATGATTTATAGATCCTTTCCAAGTGAGGATTAAATAAGAGCATATGTGAGTCACCTAGCACGGTATTGGTGTATAATGGGTTACATTCACATCTAATCTTTATTGAATCTGTGCAAATCCCTATGAGAAAGGTGTCATTTATCCATGTTTTACCAATTTGCATAATACTTTAATCACTGAATACTTACTGTGCACCTACAATATACCAGACACTCTTCTAATTAGACAGGATGAAGAGACAAAAGAGTCCCTGCCTTTGTAGAGTGTGCATTCTGGGAAAGGAGGGGGGGCGGACAACAATGACAGAATGAAGATAAGTAAACCAATAAAGGACCTAAGGCTCAGAAAAAATTTAAGTAATCCTGCCCAGGGACAAAAAGCTAAAAAGTGATAGCCTCTCCAGCTATGCTTTTTTATTCCAAATCATTTTCCTCGGCACTCCACGCTGTTTAAACAAAGTGAGGCTCAGATTAGCTCATTTTGTTGTATATTAACAGTTCTAGTGGTGATCGAGAAAGATGATCGAGACCTTTGGCAAAAATGAGATCCATGCAGCATTCATGCCTTTGGAATACTTTGGACTACCTTTCACTGTTGAATGGAGAATCGGTGTTAAATACACAGTCTCAATTGGACTTTTATCCTTGCTTGCAAAGCTAATGTAAAGACATGATTGTAAGCACAGATGTGCAGGGTCTCAGGAATAATTCTTTTTATATGGTTTTGTTTATAGCGATATAATAAATGGTCCTCTTAAAGCTATACTGGCTTGCATTGTTCATTATGTGGCCACAAAGCTAATTTATGATAGGCATATAACTGTGTCTTGCACGGTTAATCCCTGATGAAACCCCACAGCCTCTGAGGAGGTAGGTATAACTTTGGATGAGATTATTAAGTATTCTTTAGTTAGCCCTGTAAATGGAAAGAACAGAACTATTAAAAGGGACTTTGAATAGAATTATGAGCTCTCCTCTCCTCAGTCTTGGCCACACCATTCCCCATAACTGCTATCAAACGTGTATGTGTCCTCATGTACAAAGGCAAGAGAGAACCATGTGATGAGGAAACTCCCTGAGACGGACTTTCTTCAGACAGACTTGAGTTCAAATCTTGGCTCTGCTACTTACTAATTACAATTTTGGGCAAGTTACAGCTCCCTCTGGAGCTGTAAAATGGAAATAATGATAGTACCTACCTTCTGGAGTCATAGTGAGAAATATTTAAGAAAATGAAAAAGTCTCAGACCACAGTGCAATCAAATTAGAACTCAGAATTCAGAAACTAACTCAAACTGCACAACTTCATGGAAAGTGAACAACTGTCTCTTGAATGGTGACTGGATAAACAATGAAATGAAGACAGAAATAAAGATGTTCTTAGAAACCAGCGAGAACGAATACACAATATACCAGAATCCCTGGGGCACATTTGGAGCAGTGTCTGGAGGAAAATTTATAGTAATAAATGCCTACATGAGAAGAAAGGAAATATCTAAAATTGACACCCTATCATCAAAATTGAAAGAGCTAGAGGAGCAAGATCAAAAAAACTCAAAACGTAGCAGAAGACAAGAAATAACTAAGATCAGAGCAGAACTGAAGGAGACAGAGACACAAAAAGCCCTTCAAAAAATCAGTAAATCCAGGAGCTCGTTTTTCGAAAAGATCAACAAAAGAGATGGACCACTAGCCAGATTAATAAAAAAGAAAAAAGAGAATAATCAAATAGATGAAATAAAAAACGATAAAGGGGATATCACCACAGATTCCACAGAAATACAAACCGCCATCAGAGATTACTACAAACAACTCTATGCACATAAACCACTAAACCTGGAAGAAATGGATAAATTCCTGGACACTTGCATCCTCCCAAGCCTAAACCAGGAAGAAGTCAAAACCCTGAATAGACAAATAACAAGGGCTGAAGTTGAGGCAGCAGTTAATAGCCTACCACCCAAAAAAAGCCCAGGTCCAGGTGGGTTCACAGCCGAATTCTACCAGACATACAAAGAGGAGCTGGTACCGTTCCTTCTGAAACTATTCCAAACAATCCAAAAAGAGGGAATCCTCCCCAAATCATTTTATGAGACCAACATCATCCTGATACCAAAACCAGGCAGAGACTCAACAAGAAAAGAAAACTTCAGGCCAATATCCATGATGAACATAGATGCAAAAATCTTCAATAAAATACTGGCAGACCGATTGCAACAGTACATCAAAAAGCTTATCCATCATGAACAAGTAGGCTTCATCCCGGGGATGCAAGGCTGGTTCAACATACTCAAGTCTATGAATGTAATTCACCACATAAACAGAACCAAAGACAAAAACCATGTGATTATCTCAATAGATGCAGAGAAGGCCTTTGACAAAATTCAACAGCCCTTTATGCTAAAAACTCTGAATAAACTAGGTATCGATGGAGCGTATCTTAAAATAATAAAAGCTGTTTACGGCAAACTCACAGCCAATATCATACTGAATGGGCAAAGAGTGGAGCATTCCCTTTGAAATCTGGCACTAGACAAGGATGCCCTCTCTCACCACTTATTCAATATAGTATTGGAAGTTCTAACCATAACAATCAGGCAAGAAAAAGAAATAAAGGGTATTCAATTAGGAAAGGAGGAAGTCAGTTGTCTCTATTTGCAGATGACATGATTGTGTATTTAAAAGACCCCATCGTCCCAGCCCAAAATCTCCTGAAACTGATAAGAAACTTCAGCAAAGTCTCAGGATACAAAATCAATGTGCAACAATGACAAGCATTCCGATACACCAATAACAGAGAGCCAAAGCATGAGCAAACTCCCATTTGCAATTGCTGCAAGAAGAATAAAATACCTAGGAATACAACTAACAAAGGAGGTAAGGGACCTCTTCAAGAATAACTACAAACAACTGCTCAAAGAAATCAGAGAGAAAACAAACAGATGGAAAAACATTCCATGCTCGTGATTAGGAAGAATCAATATCGTGAAAATGGCTGTACTGCCCAAAGTAATTTACAGATTCAATGCTATCCCCATCAAGCTACCAATGACCTTCTTCACAGAACTGGAAAAAAAAAAACACCATAAACTTCATATGGAACCAAAAGAGAGGCCACATAGCCAAGTCAATTCTAAGCAAAAAGAACAAAGCTAGAGGCATCACGCTACCTGACTTCAAACTATATCGCAAGGCTACAGTAATCATAACAGCATGGTACTGGTACCAAAACAGAGATATAGACCAATGGAACAGAACAGAGGCCTCGGAGGCAGCACCACACATCTACAACCATCCAATCTGACAAACCTGACAAAAACAAGCAATGGGGAAAGGATTCCCTGTTTAATAAATGGTGTTGGGAAAACTGGCTAGCCATGTGCAGAAAGCAGAAACCGCACCCCTTCCTGACACCTTACACTAAAATTAACTCCAGATGGATTAAAGACTTAAACATAAGACCTAACACCATAAAAACCCTAGAAGAAAACCTAGGCAAAACCATTTAGGACTTAGTCATAGGCAAGGACTTCATGACTAAAACACCTAAATCATTGGCAACAAAAGCCAAAATAGACAAATGGGATCTAATTAAACTCTGGAGCCTTCTGCACATTAAAAGAAACAATCATTAGAGTGAACTGGCAACCAACAGAATGTGAAAAAATTTTTGCAGTCTATTCATCTGACAAAGGGCTAATATCCGGAATCTATAAAGAACTAAAACAGATTTACAAGAAATAAAAACAAACAAACCCATTCGAAAGTGGGCAAAGGATATGAACAGACACTTTACAAAAGAAGACAAAAATGAGACTAACAAACATGCTCATCATCACTGGTCATTAGAGACATGCAAATCAAAACTACATTGAGATACCATCTCACACCAGTTAGGATGGCGATCATTAAAAAAAGCTGGAGACAACAGATGCTGGAGAGGATGTGGAGAAATAGGAAGACTTTTACACTGTTGGTGGGAGTGTAAATTAGTTCAACCTTTGTAGAAGACAGTGTGGCATTCCTCAAGGACCTGGACGTAGAAATTCCATTTGACTCAGCAATCCCATTACTGGGTATATATCCAAAGGATTATAAATTGTTCTGTTATAAGGACACATGCACACGTATGTTCATTGCGGCACTGTTTACAATAGCAAAGACTTGGAACCAACCCAAATGCCCATCAGTGATAGACTGGATAGGGAAA